CCTCACTTCTTTATCCAGCAAAGCTATCATTCAGAATTGAAGGCCAGATAAAGAGTTTCACAGAAAAGTAAAAGCTAAAGGAGTTCATCACCACCAAACCAGTATTATATGAAATGCTGAAAGGTATCCTTTAAGAAGAGGAAGAAGAAGAGAATGGTAAAGATACAAACTATGAACAACAAACATGCATCAAAAAGTGAATCTAAAAATCAAGTGAATAAATAATCTGATGAACAGAAAAAAAGAAAAAAAGAAAAGCAATTCCCATTAAAAAAAAAAAAAAGACATGTGGGCTGAGAGTGAAGAGACATGGAGACCGGGGAAGGTGACACCAAGATGAGAAATAGAATGACTAATCCCTGACACAGCTTCCTGGCTCCAGACTTTATCAAAGCACACCCCCCCCCACGCCCATTATTATCTTGCCCTGATAACCTCCCACACAGCCAGCTGCTCCTCCAGCCTCAGCCCTTGTGGCTGCAAACATCTGCTCAGTGGTGGGATGAGGAGGGGCAGGTAGGACATACTCCCTTCCCAGAAGGGAAGCTGCTTAGAGCAGTGAGGCTCCCTTCCTTCCTGTTCCCCTCAACATTCAGCTCAGTGCCGTGGGGCTCTTCCAGCACCTCTCCCCAGTGCTCAGTGTTTGGGACCAGATTCAGAGTGCTCCAGGTCTCACTGTCCCACTGCCACCCCTTCCCTCTCTCCCTCTCCCTCCTGTTCAGAACCCCTTGCAGTGGTTCTCAACCTTCCCAATGCCGCGACCCTGTAATACAGTTCCTCATGTTGTGGTGACCCCCAGCCATAAAATTATTTTCGTTGCCACTTCATAACTGTAATGTTGCTACTGTTATGAATCGTCATGTAAATATCTGATATGCAGGATGTATTTTCATTGTTCGCGACCCACAGGTTGAGAACCGCTGCGAGAGGGACACCCAGCCCCCTGCCTCACTAGCCTTCTCACCATCAGGCCCCCGCCGAAGAAGCCAGCCATTAACCAGACTTGCAAGCTGAGTTTGTCCGCCTTCGTCCAAGTGGTCTCCCCATTAGGCACCAGCAGGAGGGCGTTCGCCACGATGCAGACAAGGGAGAGGGTGATGAGGGAGAGCCCCACGAAGCGGGCACACTGTCCCGTGCACATGATGAGGTGGCTGGACAGGCTGTGGGTGAAAGTGAGCCCGGAGGCCAGCGGGGAGGAAAACAAGCCTGGAGCAAGGAGCAAAGGTCAGGAAAGAGGTGTGGCAGAAACTAGACAGGCCAGATCGATGATAAGGGGGAGAAGCAGGAGACACAGGCAAAGAGGAGGTAGGGGTGGGGGGTGGGGGGACCGCTGTCCGTGAGGTGAAGGGGAGGATGTGGTGGAGACGGTGGGGGAGCTTGACGAAGAGGAAGTTGCCTGGGGTCAGTGTGTTCTTCCTCTTTTCCCTGCACGCACCTCTCCTCAGCCCCGCTGTGGGCTGCTTACCTGCTTTGTGATTTAGTCAAGCCCCTTAATTTATCTAAGCCTTAGTTGCGTTATCTGTGTCGTGGCACTTGGCTCACAGGCTGGCTGTAAGGATTAAATGAGACAATGGAAGCTGTACTTTTATAAACTAGGATACACCAAGCAGCTGTATGGTGGCCTCATCATTTCCATGAGTCCTGCAGGAAGGTTTCCTTCTGGAAAGAAACTAAGAAGAGAGTAGTGGACATTCGTTGTTCTTTCATTTCTTCTTCTCCTCCATATTTGTTTATCAAGCCCTTTTCCTGTTGGGCTCTCCGTGGAAGCCTGAGTGGTTAGAGCATCTATCCATGGCCTCAGTATCTGACTCAGCGACGGCCACGTGATCCAAGCCAGTCCCCCTGGGAATTGTTTTTGTTGTTGTTGTTGTTGGCAATCTGAGGTCAAAGAAGTTCTGTTTTTGTTGGGGAGCTGAAATGGCTGATGGCACATTGGGTGTTAGAAAGTGAAGTCAGCCGAAACCGGCTTGGCTCAGTGGATAGAGCGTCGGCCTGCGGACTGAAAGGTCCCAGGTTCGATTCCAGTCAAGGGCATGTACCTTGGTTGCGGGCACATCCCCAGTGGGGAGTGTGCAGGAGGCAGCTGGTTGATGTTTCTCTCTCATCGATGTTTCTAACTCTCTATCTCTCTCCTTTCCTCTCTGTAAAAACTCAATAAAATATATTTAAAAAAAAAAAGAAAAGAAAAAGAAAGTGAAGTCAATCCAGAGGAAAGAACATTCAAAGGCTGGAAAGTCACTAAGTCTGTTGGTTATATCTTCGAGCATGCAGATTCAGCTATGCCGGAAGCCCGACCATCCCTCGGAAAGTTTTGATTATGGGCAGCAGTTTGAATTGTGTTTCTGCCAGCTACTACAAAGAGTCTTTAAAAAACACACACACCATATATATTTTTTAAAATAATTTTTATTGATTTCAGAGAGGAAGGGAGAGAGAGAGAGAGATAGAAACATCAGTAATGAGAGAGAATCATTTATTGGCTACCTCCTACACGCCTGCAACCCCGGCATATGCCCTTGACCGGAATTGAACCTGGGACCCCTTAGTCTGCAGGCCGATGCTCTCTCTATCCACTGAACCAAACTGGCCAGGGCTACATAGAGTCTTTTTGATACAGAGCCCATGCTGTGGACAGGGCCTTGCTCTGGAGACTGCGGGGATTCAAAATTGCATGCATGAGACTCAGATATGGGCCTTGGGAGGAAAAAAAAAGAGAGTGAAGGCCTAAGCAGGATGTGGGAGTGCCATGGGAGAGACCAGGGCGGCAGGAAGTGCTGCAGGACTTCAGAAGGCAGGCAATGAGAAGGTCACACAGAAAGTGGTATTCAGCCAGTGGCCTCTGCTGTCCCTTGTCCTGGCCATCCACTCAAATAGCTACAGAGACATGAAAAATGGAGGAAAACTTACCCCTCAAAATGAATGCCAGAATGTTAGAGAAATTTTTACTGTTTCTGAGACAGCGGAGCTACTGTTTATGAATTAGAGGACGCCTGAAAAAAGAAAGCTTGGAAGCTCTCCCCACTGTCTGCCCCTGATTCATAGACAGTTACTGTAATAACTGATATTTGTTTGGCTTTCGCTGCATTGTGTAATGCTTTAAAAAAAAACTTCTTTGTTATTTTTGGATGTCTCTTTTCATTAACTTTTCTGTCTCTTATCCTGAGTTGTTATTTTATTTATTTATTTAATATTCTCTTGTGTTTTAAAATATATTTTATTGTAAAAAAAGTCTATGTTGTTTTTGGATGTCTCTTTTCATTAACTTTTCTGTCTCTTATCCTGAGTTGTTATTTTATTTATTTATTTAATATTCTCTTGTGTTTTAGAAGGCATATTATAAATCCTGGTAGTGGCTCCCTGTAAGTGTTGCAAAAGCATCCTTTAACTTTTTACCCTGCCTCTCTCTGAGAAGACCCAGACTGTGATTATCCCTGCAACCTCCTTTGAGGGGGTCTGGACAGATGGTTTTCCATGCTTCTTAGCTTTATAGCTGATGGCTATATAACCAGGTGATCCTGTGGTAAAAATTGAGCTCTCTGCTCCAGTTCTTCAGTCCTCCATGCTTTTTGCTATGACAGTTGTTGTCCCTCCCACCAGAGACAGCCTGTGCCTCTCACCATACGGGCACAGTGGAGTGTGGGCAGAAGTGACAATATCCCAGTTCTGAGCCTAGGCCTGGTGCCCCATCACTGCCATGGGAATAACATGCCCAAGTTAACCCACTGGTAAAAGGAAGGTGTAAGATCCAGCGAAAAGGCCCAGATCAGATCCCAGCCTGTATCTGCTGACCTCCAACCAACCCTCATACATGTATGAGTGAAATAAATGCCCATATTTGCATGCCACTTAGACTTTGTGGGTTTGGTTTTTTGTTGTTGTTGTTGTTCCACACCAATAGCTGACTGATACAGACCCCATTGTCTGGCCACAGCTGATTGATCCAGGAATGAGTAGCTGACCCATAGCCAGAGACCTGTGAGGAAGCTTGAGGCAAGATCTCTGCCCAGCAGAGGCACCTCACTTAATGCTGACCGATCAACAAATGGGATCTTTATTCTTGGGAAACTTGAATGTGAGGCAACCTGAGAGAGTCATCAGAGGGAAGGGCGGCCCCAAATGAAAATAAATATGAAAGCAGGGACTGAGCAAAAGCCACGAGGAAATTAAAACCATAAATAATCAGAAGCCATAAGGAAGAGAACTGGGAATTAAAGGGTCCGTCCCAGCAGAACTGAAGGGCTACCTAGAAAGGAACACAAGCGGGTCTGGCCTGAGATTTCTCTGCAATGGCAGACGACAGAGGAGCAACGTATAAAGTAACGACAGCAAAAGAAAAATAACAACAACAAAACCCCAAAGCCATCATTCACTTACTGTATCTATATTTAAGCTGCTTTTTGTGTGTGAAGGGCAACAGAATTGCATTTCTGAGAATGCTTGGGTTTGGAAATACCACTGTTTTCTCTTCCTCCCCCTCCTCCACTTTCTCCTCCTCCTTCTGCTTTTAAAAGTATTTTAACTTACCAAAAAATGAAGTAAAATAGAAAACTCCAAAATGTGAAAGTCTTGACATAACTGTAAATAAGTTTCATAAATCTAGTTATGAAACTGAATGTGCCTTGTCCAGGGGCCATTTTGAAGAACTGTATCAGGAAAAACCAAGTTTACCAGAACAAAAAGGGGATTTCTTGGTTTAGGTCATCAAAACGTCCAAAGGTAGAACTAACTTGCAGGTATGATTCACGAAAGAAATAGCTGAGAAGTTGGACTTCATTAAAATTAAAAATTTCTGCCCTGACCGGTTTGGCTCAGTGGATAGAGCGTCGGCCTACAGACTGAAGGGTCCCAGGTTCGATTCCGGTCAAGGGCATGTACCTGGGTTGCGGGCACATCCCCAGTGGGGAGTGTGCAGGAAGCAGCTGATCGATGTTTCTCTCTCATCGATCGATGTTTCTAACTCAGTGGGACTCTTTCCCCCTCCCCACCTGGGAGTCTGTGCTTGTTCTTCAATAAATTTCCACCTTTGCTAAAAAATAAATAAATAAAGACTTCCGCTCTGAGAAAGACACTGTCAAGAGAAGGAGAAGGTGAGTCACAGAATGGGAGAACATATTTGCAAAAGACATACCCGATAAGGGATTGTTATCTAAAACATACAAAGAGAGCTGCAGATGGAATTGGAACCTCCTGCTTCAGCGAGATCGTGTTTTTCCAGTATTACCTCAATGAACAGGGAGACCGGTCTATGCCCTGAAGAAGTTCCATCCTGTGGGACAACAGATCTGCTCGGCCCATCCTGCTCCGTGCTCCCCAGATGACACATACTCTCGACACCGAATCACCATAAAAAAATGTTTAAAGGTTCTGATGACCCAGCAACCTCGCCCTGTCATCTGAGGGTTCCTTAAATGTCATGTCTTTCCTGCCACTTGCCACCCCTCTGTCCACTCTGTGAGCCTTGAAGCCTTACCACCCTTGCTCTTTGGGATCCAGTGTCATCATTACCTTTGTTCATGCTTGTGCGAACCAATCATGGTAGCACCCCCCCTTAAAGGGAACACATTTGAATCTGCTTTTCCTATTTTGAGTCACTGCTAGGTTATTAAAATGACTTGAAAGGGGAAAAAAACCATACAAAGAACTCTTAAAACTCAACAATAATAAAAAATAACCTGATTAAAACATTGGGCAAAAGACCTGAATATACACCTCACCAAAGAAGATATAAAGATGCTGGGGGGCTGAATCCGGTTTGACTCAGTGGATGGAGCGTCGGCCTGCGGACTGAAGGGTCCCGGGTTCGATTCCGGTCAAGGGCATGTACCTGGGTTGCAGGCACATCCCCAGTGGGAGATGTGCAAGAGGCAGCTGATTGATGTTTCTCTCTCATCGATGTTTCTAACTCTCTATCTCTCTCCCTTCCTCTCTGTAAAAAATCAATAAAATATATTTAAAAAAAAAAGATGCTGGGGGTTGGGGTTGGCCAGGGAGAGGTCAATGGGGGGAAAAGGAGACATATGTAATACATGAAACAATAAAGCATTTAATTTGAAAAAAGAAGATATAAAGATGACAAATAAGCATCTTAAAAGATGCTCAAAATCATGTCATTAGAGAAATGCAGATGTCCCCACACACCTATTAGAAAGGCCAAAATCCAAAACACTGACAACATTGAGTGCTGCATCATCGGCGCCCTTGAAGGCACAGAGGACAGTACTGTGTGGAAATACACAGACATTGATAACAGTCAGAAAGTGATGCAGAGAGTCAGACCCTAAGAAACTTTAGGAATATATATATATATATTTTTTTGAAAACCGAGAT